TCCCGAACTGGAACTCGTAGAGGCCCTAGATTGAGAAAAAGAGAACCCACCTTTAGGAGGGATCTTCTGCGAGACCTTCGGGTTCTTGCATTTAAACTGGGTGTGACCATACTCACCACATTTAATACAAGCACCACGACTTCAACGGTCCCGCCACACTTCTTGATCCAGACCTGCTCTAACCCAAGCAGCTATTTTGTTTGGGTTAGCGGCCTGCCCCTGACTCCTTTGTTGACCGCACTTGCAGCGACCAGCTGCCTTAGTCTTAACTACGGCAGCGAGGTTGCTACCCTCTTCCTCGCCGTCAAACTTTGAACCCTCCACAAGATCGGAAACATCATCGATCTCGGTTTGATTCCCATCGGAATCAACCATCATCAATCGACTACTCTTCTTCTTCCACTATTGTGGAGTCTTCTTCTTTCTCCCATCCGTAGAAGGGGTTTGAGCTCCACCCAACGTAGCCTCTAAGTCTAGGGCCTTCTTGCTGAATGACTCAAATGTGTGATACTCTCGTCGAGCCTCGCTGGCTAATAAGTTCCTAATGTCTGTGGGAAGACATCTCAGGAACATGGTCAACAAGACCTGTGGATTGTACTCCACTCCCGGCACGACGATCAGGCGCTCTACGGCTGTGGTAAGTCTCGCACTGACTTGTACTTTTTAGTATCAAGTTTCAAGAGCCCGTCAGTGGCTATCTGTGCTTGTTGAGGGTTGTGCCAACGAGCCTACACTAAATCTATAAAGCTTTCAAGAGTATGGGTCTGCGCCCAATCATGCATGTTCCTGTCGAAGCCCTTTGAAGCAACCAATCCGTTTAGCCAACGGGCTGCTGAACCCTCTAAGTAGGATGCAGCAGTAATCACTTCCTCTTCCACCAATGTCCTCTTAGCCCTTACCCATACTAGCACCGTTCTCAACCATGTGTCGAGAGCCTCATCCTTCTTATCTCCTGAGAAGGATGCAGGTGGGTTCAGTGGGGTCTTGGGGTACCAAGGATATTGTTGTCCCTGTTGTGAGACAAGTGGCGTCTGTTGTGTAGCAGCAGGCGTTGGACCAGAAGATGAAGAAGCAACAATCTGAGATAGTGGTACTGTTGATGAAACACTTGGTGGTGGCGTAGACTGTGCGGCATAGAGGACTGTCATCGTTGAGAGTGGCAGCGATGGTAAAGCTGCTGGCCGGATCCCTGGCTTATGCATAGCGTGCAGGATCTGGTCTAAGGTGTCCTGGATTGCATCCAGTTTGCTGTCCATGTATGCATGCATAGACAGGATGCTCGCCTTCATAATCTTTTCATTGTTGCTGAGGGCCGAGTCATCTAATCCTTCTAACGCAACCTGATCTGCCTCCCTGCCGTGTAGTCTAGCACTTCTATCTTTGATCTCTTTTTCTCTTTTAGTAGCCTGCCTAAGTACCTCCTCTAACCTTAAGCGGATCCTCTCTACCTGTTGGAGCTCCATCTGCTCCCGGGTGCGTGGAGGTGGCGAGTTGAACTGCGAGCCCCCCATTTGACTAGTGCCAGCCCCTGACGTGTTGGAGGTTGACTGTGAACTGGTAGGCATGCCTAGCCCTTGACCAGTTGAGTTCGCAGCAGATGCTGCAGAAGTGCCATTAGCCATGGCAACTGCCCTAGCGGCTGCTGCTACTCTTGCAGCCTCAAGGTTGCGAGCCCTTGCTTCAACCCTTAACCTTTTCTCTTCTCCCTGTTCTAGGGTCTGGAACACTTTGGGAATTCTAAGGGATTGTATCCTTGTTATTTTCCTATCGTCCTCTACACCCTCACCACCCTCTGATCCACTCATAGGTTAGGCAGACGCTGTCTGCACTAATGTCCTCACTGGAACCTACCGCAGCATGCGTCTGACCGGATAAAAATAAATAATAAAATACATGTCCGGCGAGTTACCTAGCCTACTAGTCAAGCGGCATCAACAACATCTACTCAAACTATACATATTGCCTAAGTAATATCCTGATTAGTCTGCACAGAAGATTTGAGTAGAACTGACTATGGTAGATTACAGTCCTAACTCTAGTCTGTCTGTTAGGTGTCAGCAGTCAGTCAACCAACTAATCAAAATAAAACTCAAACTAATGTGAGCAGATGTATGCACAATGGATATGCCAGTGATGTACAGTTGAGTTCACAATTGGAATCCCCTTCCCCTATATCCAACGTACCTGTGAGCATCATCAAGCTGCGGTGTCTAAGGTGTGCAACCACGGCCCATCCATGTGCCCAAGAAGTATGCTTATAACCAATCCTGCCCCTTTGTTTACCCTCGCGTGCAACGAGCCTTACGTCTGAATGATCTGGCTGATCACGAGGGATTTAAGGAGAGCCCCCATCTCCTCAGGAATTATTTAACGTCGCAGTCAGGACGACGATCACAACCAGTATTCAATTCAGACCCCAACCAGAAATGTTTATAGACGGTCTGGGAGCGTCTCAATAGGGCTGGTCAGTCCGCACACCCCTTCTATCAGTGCAGCAAAAGAGCCTCAACGGACAAAGCAGCCATTGCATGCATGTACTAATCCCATTGGGTTAGCATGGTGACCGTCACCCACGTGCTTCGACCAGGGACCTTCAGAGGCACCGCCCTCTCCTGCCAGATGCGCCACGGGGAAGAATGTCGTCTCTCAAGATAGAGCGCACATGACTCCTCACCAAAGAGAGGACACTCAAGTTGGACTCACTTCCTCGCGGAAAGAAGAGATTGAGAGGGTAGATAAGGAATGGGAACAACGTACCTGGAGATAGCTGCCCCCAACCACAGATTTCTCACCAATTGGGCTGATGTGCATTTCGATGACCGGTCAATAGCCTCGGTACCACCCACAATGCAATGTAGTGCCACCTCAGCCAAAATGCCACTTCAGCATACTCTCATCATCATGTCTACATCCGCTGTCACCACAGCTCCCACGCTGTCGCCACAGCCTTCCAGCGGCCGGCCTCTCTACCTAGGCCCCGCTAGTATACCAGTGCAATGTATCCTCACTGCACATGAAGCATCCTCAGCGCACCAAGTTACAATGTCACCGGTGTCAGGTAAGCGGTGATCACAACCAGCTCCGATACCAAATTGCAAGGAATATGAGAGTGAGCAATATACATAAAACCAAGTTGCGAAATCACACAGCTGAGCAAGTAGTAGTATCCCAAGTAGAGAGTACAAAT